TAATAGCATTAATAAAAAAAGTTTGAATAAAACATTACACAAAATAATTGACAAAAGTAAACTGAKTGCTTGGTAACAGAACAAATACAAAACAGGCAACACTTTCAGCATTCATATTTACCAAGTTACACTAAAATATGAGTCTGCAGAGGACAATCAGTTAAGAGCCGTTTGGGAACCGTTCTACGAGAGCCGGTTCTCGGAAAAGAGCCAAACTTTCCATCAGGTGTGAAAATACAGCTCTTGTACTCTTGAAGCGGGTTGGAGGCATCCACAACTATTCAAACTACTCCCATTTTTCACATGTTTTAATTTTATACTTGATGAATGCMCTAGATAGTTTTATGCAATATTTGCTTTTTTATTGCTTTTTATTTGTATTGATAAAGCATGTTCAACAAAGTGATGAAACCTATTTATACTTAGATTATTTGGTGTATTTGTATTTTCTGCTTACTGACATAATWTATGATATGAAGGCTTTGCTATATTTTAGTAATTGGCACTTGTAACACAAATGTAAACATGCAATCTGCTGTTTTTGTTGTTGTTATGTCTGTTCTGCTTATTCTAGTAACTGAAAACATTGTTCTCGTGTGGACAGGGCTTGGGTTGGAGCACTGCAGATGTTTCAGATGACAGATCACATGGACAAGAGAACTGAGTTTAAGGTTAACATGAGACAATATGAACTATAGATGAAAGCATAGATCCGGGCACGTAGAGAATACAACAAGTAGAAGTGAGAGGAAAACAACATGTCTGACCGAAAAGAAAAGAAAAGAAACAAAAAAGTGTGAGGTGGTTTAAAAACAAACGAACCACAGCACTGCCACAGGACAATAATAAGCGGCAGGGTGAGGAACAATAAAAACTGCTGAGGCAAGCAGGTGTGTGAGACAAAAGCAGCCAGCTCAGAAGAGTTACAGTACCTCCGTAATGGGGCGGTGGGCCGCAGAGAAGGACCACAGCTTGACCTTCCCTCACCAGCACTGTGTTCCTRGGCTTCTTGCTGAAGTTCTGCAAAACTGGAGAATGTGACAGAAACCATGAACATGAATCACAGTCTGAAAACTGTTCAACCCGAAAGGTAATAAATTCCTCTCGTTATGTTCATAATGTTCACGAGCAAACTTGGAATTCCCATCAGTACTGTCACACCTGCAGAACGTCGAACAAAGGATGCACCAGCCCAGCTTTAGGGACTGATTTCACCTTTAATTAAATGCTGCTCTGCGGCTCAAGAGAATAAATAGCAGGGAGACATATAAATCCTTAAGTCTTAGAAATACCATCAGGTCTCAGGAGGGGTCAAGCAAATATCAGCGCTGGTTAAATCAGATCTCAACTTATTAAAAGTCTGTTCTAAATCAAGACATGCAACCCTCCTTCATCTCGTTGTGTATTCCCCTGGCATTACATTGGTAGGAGGAGGAAACACAACTGCTTTATTCTCTGAGTAAAAGTTTAAAAAACATTCTCAAGCAGTTTTAAATCTGTGTCTGATAGTAAAAGATCTCGATTCAAATATGCTTTGGTGTTCAATTGTTTGAACTTCGGTTTTTACATTTTTCTATTATTTTTTCTAGAAAGCAAAATTGTTTTTGATGTTACTTTTCAAGTATGAGAAAAGTTTTAGAGTTTCCCCTACACTGTCCAGGAAATTTAAAAAAACCCACAAAGTTCTGTGGATAAGTTTGAAATTATCAACTCAACTCAAGCATGAGGAGAACATGCATCCTCCACACAGAAAGACCCTAGGTCTGAACCAGGGACTGAACCCAGGACCTTCTTGCTGTGAGGCGACAGTGCTAACCACTGAGTAGGGTTGGGGAAAATCGTATAGTGTGCATTTAATCATCAGAAAAACTTTAATCCATTACTTTTTTGGCTCTTAACTATTATTACGAAAAATTCCGCCAGGCAGACTGACGGGAGATTTTCCCAGTCAATCCGGTCGATGCTCCTCTCTGCTTCAAATATGACAAATATTTTATTTAAAAAAGTTCTGTAATTCATTTAACATAAGTCCAGTTTTACTTCCAACAGAATTTAAAAACTAATGTAMAGCCTGAAGTCTGTACGTTTGACACAATTTGGAACAGATTTTTCCGGAGAGCAAGTCTTTCCAGAGTGAGTTAACTTGGTCATGTGACTAAGACATGCAAGYGTCCAGGGAKTCCAGGGGAGTAATCATCATATRAATCATTATCAGCTAAATACCTCAATAATCGTGATTAATTTTTTTGCCAATATCGCTCAACCCTACAAACTGAGCCATCATGCTGCCAAGACTGARGCATGCTGAAGCTCTTACGTTAAARAGTTTTTTAGATATAAGCATTTTTGTATGTCCAGAAACCCCCTTTTCAGATGGAGCCCCTACCCAAATATGGGGTCTTTCATAAAACCGTTGGCTGGCGCAGTGTAGGTCGGACACATCTAATTTCATGCTGGTTGGTGAAGATTTTCTGTGCTAAAACTGACCAAAAATCTGAAAACAAAACTAACAATGATATTAGGCAATCTCTTTTGCTCTCTAAGTCTTTTGCTTTTTCTAGCTTGCYAAGGTGATTCTTGACTTTCATTTAAATACATCCTCAATGTTTTGAAATTCCTAACTTGTTTTCAGTAAATATTACACTTTATTTAGTGTCAAATTGATACTGTCATTTGGTTTAGAGAATTTCTGGTGTATTTTTACTTGGTTGTACTGCACATGACCTTGTAATAAATATAAAGTGAGGAAAAAGATCTGCCCATGTCTTTAAAATCATACACAATGAATAAACAGCCCCAAAAATTACTCACATGCAAACTGGACTTTTGCCTTCCTACTGACGATGGTTCCAAATGCATTGGTGCCGATGCACTGATACACTCCCCCATGATTGATGAAATGAGGGTTATTGATCAGCAGGTTCCCCTCTACAAGGCTGTAGTTTGGATCAGAGTCTGTGTCTATATCCCTTCCATCCATTTTCCACCTGTTAAAACACACAGTGATTCATCCTGATTTATTATGATTCAGCATAGATTGAACTATTGATTAGTTTTAATTATCTGGATGTCTGAACAAAAAGACTTCAGTTGATCTGAAATGCTGCTGCTACTGAGAATTAGGAAGTAAGATCATACTTCTCCAATGTATCTTATCTCCATTAGTTCCCTGTAAAAATCAGAATAGATTATAAAATATTATTTCTAAAATATATAGTTGTCAACAACCAATCCTTCATCTTAAATTCAAGATCTTACTCTTTTATGTTTTTCCTAACAGAGCACTTCACTCTCAGACTGCAGGTTTACTTGTGGTTCCTCAAGTTTCTAAAAGTAGAATGGGAGGCAGAGCTTTCAGTTATCAAGCTCCTCTCTTGTGGAACCAACTTCCAGTTTCTGTCTGTGAGGCTGACATTCTGTCTACTTTTTAACACTGGGTTTAAGGTTTTCCTTTTTCATAAATCCTATAGCTAGTGTTGGCTTGGGTTTCCTGAGCTATTTCTTAGTTCTGCTGCTATTGGCTTGGGCCTGAGTCACACTACAAAAAAATCAGGCAGATTTTTGCCCTTCCGACAATCTTAAGGAAGTCCAGATTATCATGATGGCTCTAAAGATAATCATAGCAGATATTCCCACTGTGGGTGGTGAGTTAAGAGTGATCTAGTCGGCTCGGAAGGACATCAGGACCTCTCCAACCTCAAATSGGGGATATTCAACATGTTTGATTTTTTGGCCCGAAATCACAGTGTGTGTAGTGTTCACCCGAGCTCTCAGCCTGTTGAATGAGACGTGTAGCCAATCAGAAAGCGAGGTGACGTAAACACGGAGGGGATTCCAAAATACAGAACACAAAAAACCTGTCATGACTCAGCAGAAAGTCTGCTGGATGTTAAAAGTCCTATGCAATTGTTTTTCCTCTGGTAAAAATAGTCCACAAACGATCCACATTGTTTCTTCCTTGTCGCAAACGTTTATTTACTCTGAACTCACGTCTCTCTGGAGGTCACCTGAGATTTTTCCTCGGACATATGAATTCTCGCGAGATTTCAAGAAGTCTCACGTGTTTTAATATCTGACAGTTCATGAATGAAATATCTTTACGTGTGTGGTGTGTTGTCTCTTGCCGTGTGACTGTACACCACACACTGTAGGACCAAACCTGGTATATCCATGATTTTTTATCCTCACATGTGGGCTCTGTCAGTCTGAAAATCGGACGACTGCTTTAAAATCTTGTAGTGTGACTCAGGCCTTAGACTGCTGGTGAAAAAACTGACCACATTTCCTCATTCTGCTGCTGTCTTCAGTCTCTCCACTCTCCGTGCTGGTTTCTGTAATTATGTATCAACATTTTTTTCTTGTTTTTCTTCCCATAGAAACTCCAGCTCGACCAATTAAATATGTTTGTCCCTTTCCTGTCTTCTAAACTCCAGATAGTCCAGTCTGATGGCTTCTCATCCTAAACCCGGTTCTGCTGGAGGTTTCTTTGTGTTAGGAACATGCTGCCCAGGATAGGGAATGTGTCAAAGTAAAGATTCAGCACAATCTCCTGGTTTCCTTAGATAAAGATCTTTTACCATTACAATTTATTTGAAATGACCATACTTGGATTTTAAATTTATTCTACTTTGAACTGAACTGTATTTATGAATTGAACATGTGTTTTTGCATATTTCCTCTTGAATTGCAATATAATTAAAATAAACTAAACTGAAATTGCATTCTCTGTATTATTTAAACCTTAAAAGGAAAAAAAAACAGACAAAATGCACCTGATAATAAAAAAAAATGTTTTTTCCACTTCATTAGTTCATTAAATTCTGAATGAATTAGATCTTACACTGCAGAAAATCCAATTTGAAACAAAGAAAGTACCTATAGTGTGGAGGTGGGTTTCCTTTTGCTTTGCAATTAATAAACACCAACTTGTCACCAGTGCTCATTGGGAAAATGCTGTCACTGGGCTCCTGGGTGAAGACAGGACCGTGGCGGGCATGTTCTGTGTTATAAATAAGAAATATACATAAAACATTAGCTGTACAACCAAAAGATCAAATGACACCAAATTAATGCACAAAGCTATCACTCAGCACAAAACTGCATGTAAATTGTATACTTTTTATAATTAGCTGTCAGCGTTACTTTCTGAGTGGATTCTGCATAAATTAACCCTCATGTCACAAGGTTTACGACATCTTACAATGAAACAGTAATTAACAGAACAGAACCGAGTCTCACATAGGCCAACTAGCATGTTATGTTGTCTAAAACACAGCTTGTTTTTAACTACCCTTTTGTAAATGTCTGAATTAGGGTTGTGCATTTTAAAGAAATTGCAATATTACTTTGTATTTTACTTAACTGTTCACCTTAGAAAAAAACTATATATACAGATGTTTGTAGAATTATTTGCATTACTATAAATTAATTTAATGTGTGTACATTTTGTACAAACTGTGCTGTACAAAGGTCTTGAGTGGCCCGTTGTTTTTTTAAATTATGGAACCAACCCAGTTTTAGATGGCTAACACATATAATCAAACTTAGAAAAGACACAAGTGGCTTATTTTGCTGGTAGGTTAGAGCCAGGTAGGAACAGTTCTCAGGGAGGCAAACTGAGTTTGATATTCTTCTTATAAGATGCATTTACTCACGTCTGATGCTCATGCTAAATAAATGGTAAAAACAGTCAATGGATTGAGCTTGTATAGCGCTTTCAAGTTCCTTTGGACTCCAAAGCGCTTGACACTACAGGCATTCACCCATTCACACACTGATAGTGGTACAGCTGCCCTGGGGCACACTGACAGAGGCGAGGCTGCCGTGCACCACCAGACCCTCTGACCACCATCAGTTGGCAAGGTAGGTGAAGTGTCTTGCCCAAGGCGAAACATCCATAACCACTCTGCCACAATCGCATATATTCAACTAGCCTATCACTTAAATCAGGACTGAGACTTCTCTACATTGGACCATTGAATGTCAGTGAAACTTTAGCCTCATGCCTTTGTGTGACTGCTGTACAAAATCTGAATTTGCACACAAACATAGTTGTCCTAGACCTCTAAGTGCTTAGATCATACAAGATCTTTGCTTAAAACTTTGGCTACAAAGCTAAGGATGAAATGATTTCCTCCAACTAATGGTGGGCGGTATGACCCAAATATTATATCACGGTATTTTCAACCACTATACCAGTATCAGTGTATTTACAGTATTTTTCTTTTGATAACAGCTCAGCTGTTAATAAAATGTGCAAACACTGCTTATTGATTAAAAACCACAGTCAGTTGAAGTTACTCTCTTTCTGCAACACAGAAATTGTTTCTTGACTTTTATTATTTTACCGTACCTCTGTCTGTCACTGTTTCCCTCTGCTACATGTCTTTTCTTCTCTGCCTGGTTGTAGACAGTAGTCACGCATTTTGGTACGGTCGTGAAGGAGGGTTGAGCAAAAATCAATATCGGGTCTATCGTTTTGTGTTATTTAATAAAGCTTAACAGAAAAGCTCAGCCTCTGTGCACCCGCAACCGCAAAACAAAACCAACAACCCCCCCCAGCTTTTCACATTAGAAGCACATTAACATCTCCATATATCAGGCAAATATGCTGCGCGTGAAATCTAGGTGTTTATTAGATTCAGTGATGTTGAAAACAGGAGTTCTAATGCCTGTTCGAATTACGTGAGAACAGGAGTTCTAATGTCAGTCAATATAAGCAGTGGTATCGCCACCCACCACCAGTTATGGAGAAGCTGCTCCAACAATAACATTAGCTTGCTAATGAGCATTGTGGTGCTACGAGGAAAAGTGTCCCCTGTGAAACAGTTCACTGGTGGGTGCGATGTAACATTCCAAAGGTGTTCAGGCTATTTAAAAAATTTATATCATAACAAAAATACGAAACGTATACCGCCCAGCGTTTTCTCCAACATTCATTTTATAAGCCCTAATATGGCTCTATATCCCGTTTTATTGCACTGAGTTTTATCATTGACTAAAAAAAGGAAAAAAAGTCGGATGTGATATTCTAGTGGTTATTTAAAAAAAAGAAAGAAAAAAATAAAACATCTCTGGAACTTCATTAGACTTCACTTGCAGTAAACTTCAAATAAAATATAACATTATTAATAAAATATTTGTAGGTATCCCAAAGAAAACCTGCTCCAGCATTAAAACCACCGGAGACAGGATGAAGAGTAAAACCGTGATTCAAAGAGCCAAGAGTACTTGAAAGTGGCTTCTGAAAAATCTCTCACTGTCCTTCAGCTCAACAAAGGTCCAACTTTGAACACAAGGAAACGTCTGTTAGAAGGTTTCCACATGGAAGTTTACAGATGCTCATAGCAGATGTTTTAACTGCCAGGAAGCATGTAGTAAACTACAAATCTAGGTGAGTAAAGCCTTTAGAGACTTATCCAAGGAAACCGGAACTGCTGCCAAAGGAGCTACTCAGAAGTACCAGAATGAGGGTATGCATACCTCTAATTTGTCATTGAGGGGGTTTAAGTGTAAATTAGTAAAGGTGTAAATTAACTAGATTGTTAGCCTGTGTAGGGAGCCTGCAGTTCAGTTAGTTCACCTGCTAACTTATGTTGCTTGTTACAAACATTAGTTTCAAAACTCTTCTAGATAAGCAACTGTTAAACACTGAATACAATGTACAACCATCCTATAGCATGAAGGTTTACAATTATTTCTACCTCGGCTGCCACACACAAACAGCAGCAGTGATAAAGATTGTCCTCTTTGTCTAGTTTGTAGTTTAGTTTTTAGGCATTTAAACTTGTTAAAATGTTTAACAAAAACATTTTGTGGTTTTAAAACCATGATTTTTAACAACATGGTTTAACTTAAGCAGGTAGTGAGCCCATTCCTAAAAGCAATAACAATGTCAATTTTGCATTTAGATTTAAAACCAAGGAATAAAACATGCAAAAATTGTAACAGTTGGTATGTTTCAACGTGACTAAAAACACACAAACCAAACTACTCATTTTGTACATGTTTAAAACCATTGGAAAAATCAACAATGAACCCAGGAATTACTCATTATTTCATCAATATCATTCATTATTATTCTTATTTTTGCATTATTTCAATGCAAGTGGTATACAGTTTTGAAGCTGGTTACATAAGAGACTAGGTACTCAGTATAGTGTTCTGCTTTGGCTTTAATTTAATTATTGTGAATCTGTCTGTATACATGTTGCTTGAGGTGTGCTCTGTGAAGCTCATTGTTTTGGTTTGTTTCAYCCAAACTATCAATACACAGGAGTAATTAACCATCGGTGCACTAATTACTCCCGTGAAATCTAACTTTTTTTTTAAACAGATGCGCTTTCACAAACTGGCACGCACCAGTGCACACCCTCCATTTCCTCTGACACCATGTGTCACGCGCCAAGCTGCATACCAGCGCTGCTGTGGAAAATTTGTTAATTTTTCTTTTTGTTCACTTGAGAGGACGAAAAATTGGATGTTTTTTTCCCCCTCCCTTTTTTTATACACATCTCTAACCTTGACTAGGAGAACGAGACCTCCCTCCCACATCATCATCATTATGATCGCTCTAATGAGAGTGGGAGTCTTTGCCTCAGGTAAAGGCCTGTTTCCTCAGTCTCTGAGGGAGATGTTTCATATTCTTCCCTGCTTGCCATGTCCTTTAAATTAAACAAATTAATGAACCTTTAAAAGCTGGGCTATTTCACTTGGGAAATGATGCTTTGTCTGCCTAAGAAAAGGCCTACCCTTTAAGTACACCAACTGGACTGGCCACTGGTAAACACTGACATTCAAACTAAAGYCCTAACAATCGCTATCACTAGACTTTCACCTTATAATGAGAAATAATGGTAGTCTTTTAAAAATACACGTAATGTATAACATTGCAATAAGCAACATCCAGCATGACCTGTTTGAAGTATGTGTTGTGAATGACCTTCAGCTACTACATCAAACTGTACTCATCAGTAAAATTTGTTGAGTTATAGCCACTTGTTGTGCTTTTTATAGACAGTTGAAAATCGTAACTATCTTGAATGGGGTTGAACCCAAAACCTATTCAGTAATATGTGTCATCACAGTGATTACTTCACTAAAATCTGTTTAGTGATTCGGAATATTTTGTTAACAATGCAGACAATCAAACACATACAGAGKCATGGGCAAACATTATTGCCCTTTTGCCTTCGTCCTCAAGTAACATCTTATGAGCTTAAATCATACAGAATGATTTGGGACATAAAAGGTTAAGTGACAAGCCTCCATGCTCTGTATTTGTAGATTTCATGTTATGCTCAGGGAAGTGCTCAAGATAAGATGCGTAATCAATGGAAAAACAAGAATAAACAATACAACAGGCCCAGTACCATATGCTGCATACATTATGCTTGTTTGATGACTTGTAAATGGTTGGTTTGAGTTGACTGAGCAGTATATCCTTCAAATCTGACTGTTGATTGTAAATCTCCAGCCTGCACAACTTACGCAAGAGAGCTCTTATAGAGTTTACCACCGTAGCTGTAACTTATGAAGGTATAGGAAACTAAAGATGGATGCTTTTCTGCTTTTCCCTCCAAGTGAGATCATAAGCATGCTTTGCAACCATGCTGCGGTTGGGAGGGGTTTAAGAATAAAGGAGTGTTAGATTTGTGGAGATTTTTACTGTGCAGGTCCARATTTCATGTAAGAGGCAGCAGCTGGACATAAAGTGAGAAAATTGCATCATAAAACAAGGAGGCATTAAAAAAAGCACAGTGAATACTCTGCCATATGTTAGTTTAACACTGTGCCTAATTGTGAGTCTGGTGCYGTCTGAAAGGAAAATTCTGGATGAAGGTATTACTTCTGAAAAACAATGCCTCGCATTCCTGAAAGGAATGAATAACACCTGCCGTCCTYAAATTGTCTTATGTTGAGAAGGAATAGAGTTATAGTGGTGAATTTAAAAATTTTAATTTTAATAAGGAATAAAATTCATGCCAAACTTCCTGCTACTGTCTTTGATTCTCTGTCAGATGAGGCAGCTTTAGTGTCACTAGAACCTGATTTATGTCTGGACAGTTTTTGTCCTGTTGAGCTCTGATTTATCTAAAATAATAGCTTCATCCAAACCATCAACATGTCTGCTAGATCCCATCCAACCAGACTGTTCAAAGAAGCATTTCCCTTAAATAATATTTACACTCACCGGCCACTTTATTAGGTACACCTATCCAACTGCTCGTTAACACTTAATTTCTAATCAGCCAATCACGTGGCGGCAACTCAGTGCATTTAGGCATGTAGACATGGTCAAGACAATCTCCTGCAGTTCAAACCGAGCATCAGTATGGGGAAGAAAGGTGATTTGAGTGC